AGATGGCAAGTAAACACCCCGTTCCAAAGAATATCTGTCGTTGATTTTTATTGACTTGCGGACCTTTCGGGGCCAGTTTGTTTTAGCGTACCTCTTTAGGGTAAGTTAGCCTGTGACCACGGGAATCGACCGCGTCAAGTGTTGGATCAGTACGCACATATGAAGGTACTGGGTAGAGAGAGATCTGAACGGTTTTTAATGCGAAGACAACAACAACAACAACAACAACAACATTTAAAACTGAACTAATGGGTGGTGGGCGGATGACCGGCGGACCCCAAAAAGCAAGCGGAAAAATAAAATATAGACTATGTTAAGAAAAAAAAGAAAAAGAAGAAGGGACGACAAAGACAAGTGAGCCAGACGCGACAGGCTTCAGGGAGGTGGCAAAAGAGAGCATACGAAAACCACCGTCGCCGCTCTGAACCGCTGGAAGCTGTCACATAGCACAGCATGCAGCAAACATTATAGGGGCCATGCCCCCGTTGCTTCAAGTAAAGAGGCAGCGCCCATCGCCTCACATACAGCAGCCGGGTACGTACTACACAAATAGCCTCTTACTCAGCAAGAAGAAAAACGATTGCGGTTGACGTTCGATGTTGTTGGGACCCCAACGGCGATAATAGGCGAGAAGGAGAGACAGGTGCTACTACTACGTAGATCAACATAAGAAAGCGTAGAGAAGGCATTAATTAACTCTCGAGACCCTAACCGAAGACACTCACTCTCGTCCCTGTGGCCCACCGCAGGCTGTAACGAACGACGACATCCGATGTGTGCTCAGCAACAACAAACGCAACAAACCAAATATAGTCGCCGTTTCCGAACTAACTGTGGAGACTCTCTTTCATCACTTGTGGTATGAAGTATGAAGTGACAACGAAATAGAAAATGATGACGAGAAGCACCACGGACGAACTATTTTCTCAATACGCTTGCCGTCGCGATAGACGCGCACCGTTCCACGAACGACCAGTTGTCAAACCTCACTACGCAAATAAGATTGTTGTCCTGCCATCTACCCCTTATCGCTCAAATTACGACTACGCAGCACACTAAAGGTAAGTAAGGCAGCAACACGCTTGCGATGCTTTACCACCCATCCATGCATGTAAGAGAAGAAAAAAAAAAGGGTATGGCGGACCGTCTGTTGTCTGTATCTTCAACCGTGCTGCCGTTGCTTTTCTTCATGGATATCGGCACAGAGAAAAAATGAGGAATGCGCATCTCCTACGCGAGCACGGCGTGCAGCCCAAGCGACAGAGACGATAACCTTATGACCTTTGCAGCATCTTCCGAGCATAACAGCAGCCACCGCATGTGTACAACGGTCACTATAGACTAAGGAAGAAAATCACAAAATCACTGGTTATCGCCCCACAGCGAGCGATAGCTGCTCAAACGACTGTGAGAGGTCTTGAAATCGTCTCAGCTACCCAGAACTGCTGGTAGTTGCCGGAGATTTGCAGGTACGTACTGCTTTTGCCTACCACTCTCGTCCTCTCGTCCGCACATCAACAACAACAATAAATGCTAATTTTCGCACCACAAAAGAGCCATCCATGCAGAAAGTTGCAACAACAGAACAAAAGCAGCTCCTGCTGTATGTACACAGAATGTCCAGCTGTGTGCTGAGGTCGGTCAGCATCTCGAGAGAAGCGTAGCCAGCAAGCAAGGCTTGGCGCGGGACACGAGAGAAGCAAGCAAGGCTTGGGGCGGGCGGCGAAAAAAAGAAGACGACTCTATATAAAAAGATCTGTAAAAAGAAGGGTTGGCGCGGGCGGCGAAAAAAATGAAGACGACTCTTATACAAAAAGATCTATAAAAAGAGGACCCTCAACGACAAGTCAACCAATCTGGTCGTTCCGATGTGACGATGTAACGCAGATCTTCTTGTCGACGGAGAAACTGGTTATCGCCCCACAGCAAGCGATAGATGCTCAAACGACTGTGAGAGGTCTTGAAATCGTCTCAGCTACCCACCCAGAACTGCTGGTAGTTCTCGGAGGTTCGCAGTGTGGGCTGAGATCGGCCTTTTCGACCCGGTCGGGCAAGGGGTGGGTCCGCTATGCTACTGAAAACTCCACAGACGAAAAAAAAGACTTTTGATGTGCGTACTGATCCAACACTTGACGCGGTCGATTCCCGTGGTCACAGGCTAACTCACCCTAAAGAGGTACGCTAAAACAAACTGGCCCCGAAAGGTCCGCAAGTCAATAAAAATCAACGACAGATATTCTTTGGAACGGGGTGTTTACTTGCCATCTCTATGCAAGTTTCACAATTAATTTTGAAGCTTTTCTGAAGCTAGTTGAAACAGTAGTGTCATCGTTCGATATCCGTTCGGTGAGGAATCAATCGCAAATCATGACCCGTCCCCGAGTTGTAGCAGCTTCCGCCTCCTGGGGCCGGCAAGAGTCGGCCTTCACTGCTGTACCTTGTCTGTTTCGCCATGGGAATGGCCGGTTCAAAGCGAAAGAGGGTCCTGCGTGCTGCGCGCCACCACCTTTTTTTTTTTGCGTTTGTTTGTTGTTGTGATTTTCTTCCTGAGTGACCGTTGTTGTACACAACATGCGGCTGCTGCTGTACACATACTTGCGGTTGCTGCAGTATATGCTCGGAATGTGCTGAAAAGAAAGGTCGTAAGGTTATCGTCTCTGTTTTTTTGGGCTGCACGCGTTGCTCGCGTAGGCGATGCGCGTCTCCTACTTTTTTCCAGTGTCGTTGTCGGCAGCACAGTCAGTTGAAGAGACAAACAACAACAGACGGTCCGCCTTGTTTTGTTTTGCTGCATGCATGGTTGGTATGCATCGGCACGCGTGTTGCTTCCTTGCCTTGAGTCTGCTGCGTAGTCGTAATTTGAGCGATAGGTAAGCTAGATGGCAGCACAATCTTAGATACTACGTAGTGAGGTATGATAACCAACAGCTCGTTCGTGCAGCGGTGCGCATCTATGGCGGACGGCAAGCGTATTGCGATAATAGTTCGTCCGTGGTGCTATGTAGTCGTGCTCTTTTTAGTTCTCACTTCCTACAACAAGATAGTAGTCCACAGCTCGCACACGGCGACTGACTATATTTGTTTGTTGTTGTGCTTGTTTGCTGTTGCTGAGCCGACATCGGATATCGCCGTTCGATACACAACGTGACATCATGTCTGACAGCCTGCGGCGGGCCAGAGGGACGAGAGTGAGTGTCTTCTCGACAGAGTCAATGCCTTCTCTTCTCGAGAGAGTCAATGCCTTCTCTTCTCGAGAGAGTCAATGCCTTGTCTTCTCTCCGCTCTCGTATTTTTGTCTACCTCTCTTTCTCTCTCTCTCGCCTTTCGCCGGTAGGGTCCCAACAACATCGAACGTCAACCAACCGCAGTCGTTTCGCTTTTTGCTGAGTAAGAGGCTACCCGTGCATCCGGCTGCTGCATGTGAAGCGATGGGCGTTATGCCAAGCAATGGACTTGGGCCCTACCTAATATTTGCTCCATATGTAGTGCTATGTGAGAGTTTCCAGCGGTCCGGAGCGAGCGGCGACGGTGCTTTTCTTCTATGCGCTCTTTTGCCTCCTCCCTGAAGCCTGTCGCGTCTGACTCGTTTGTTCTCGCTTCTTTCTTTCTTTTGTTTTTCATGCTTTTGTTTTTTGGGGTCCCCCGGTTCCTGTGTGCTCATCGGGCATCTTCTTGGTGTCTACCTTGATTGTTACCCGCTGCAAAAATCGAAAGCTTCAGACAGGCAACGCGACGATACTCGTCGAGATGCCATACACAATGAATTCATTGCTAATCTGTCTCAGACTCTTTTCTATGATGGAGATGGATTCGTTGTGTCATATTAAGAAGAATAAACATAAAAAAACATCCTGTCGTTACTCTATCGATACCTCACACCCACCCCTACTCACGCCGACGCAGACACAGACAGGCAGACTCAGCTCTTTCGCCTGTGCTGTATCTGTTGTTCGTGCGTGCTGAAAAATGGTACATACAGCAGCAGCTTACCGCAGCAGGAGCTGCTTTTTGCTTGTTTGTACAGCTTTTCCTGCAGGGATGGCTCTTGTTGTGCGGCAAGTTGCATTGTTTGTTGTTGATGCGGACGAGAGGACGAGAGTGAGTGGTAGGCAAAAGCAGTACGTACCGTGTTAAAGGGACAGACAGAGTGCCTACCGTGTGTATGTAGACGTTGCATTTCGTGATTCCCGAGGATCGGATGTATGTGTTGTTTTTTTATTGCGTACCCGCGTCCATCACGACCATTATTGCGTAGTGTGTCGGCTAATTAAGGTCCTTCCCGTTCGTGGTGTCAGCACACGCGCAACACGCGACTAAAATAAAAATATAAAGCTTGGGACTAGCAACGCCGACGATATTCGTCGGCTTGCTTTCAACAAATGAAGGTACTGGGTAGAGAGAGATCTGAACGGTTTTTAATGCGAAGACAACAACAACAACAACAACAACAACAACATTTAAAACTGAACTAATGGGTGGTGGGCGGATGACCGGCGGACCCCAAAAAGCAAGCGGAAAAATAAAATATAGCGCGGGACACGAGAGAAGCAAGCAAGGCTTGGGGCGGGCGGCGAAAAAAAGAAGACGACTCTATATAAAAAGATCTGTAAAAAGAAGGGTTGGCGCGGGCGGCGAAAAAAATGAAGACGACTCTTATACAAAAAGATCTATAAAAAGAGGACCCTCAACGACAAGTCAACCAATCTGGTCGTTCCGATGTGACGATGTAACGCAGATCTTCTTGTCGACGGAGAAACTGGTTATCGCCCCACAGCAAGCGATAGATGCTCAAACGACTGTGAGAGGTCTTGAAATCGTCTCAGCTACCCAGAACTGCTGGTAGTTCTCGGAGGTTCGCAGTGTGGGCTGAGATCGGCCTTTTCGACCCGGTCGGGCAAGGGGTCCGCTATGCTACTGAAAACTCCACAGACGGAAAAAAAAGACTTTTGATCGACTGAGACCCAAGCTAGAGCTTGGGAACGGGGATACACTCCCTCGTAACCCAATTCGATTGTTCACAGACCCTTGCGAATAGTCCGCCGCTCTACATCCCTTCTCATGGAACGCCGCCAACATGAAGCAGCTGCATCTTTTTCCTCACAGCAGTGGGCGAGCAGATACATGCGAAGGAGTGACATACATGCTTTGAATTCCGAAAAGTGTACGACGTGTGAAGACTCCATTCATTTCAGCTCCTCAGAGAGCCCCGCCGAGGTACGTACGTCTCTCAACGGAAGCAAGCATGCGTGTGGTTTCGACTCCCACAATCAACTTGCACCGGTCCGCCATTTCGTCCGCACATACACCCTCCTCTTGCGCCCCAACCCCCTTCACCCCCTTTGCCCTATTCGTTCCGCGTTAGACAGGAGCACGAGGCTCCGTATTCTTCGCCCACAACAGCGCTCGATTTAGTTGCGCCTTCGATTTTAGAGCGCCTGGAGTGTCCTCGGGGAGGCCCTCCCGCGCCTCCCGTAGCTTTTTCACGTTAGGCGTTGTGTCGTCCCAGCCGGTGTAGATCCCCGCCCGTATCATCCTCCTCATTGATGTTTCGGCCTTGCTCCTCTCCTTGGCTGACACCTTCATCCCGGCCTGCTCCTTGCGTCGAACGTTGGCGATTCTAGCCTCGTCTTCGACCACTTGCCCACCCGCCCTCCGCCACTGGGCCAGACTCCGTAGTCGTTGGGCATGCGTTTCCTTGCCGAGCTTCCAGAATGGTACGTTGCGTTGTTGGGGCTGGCCATTGCCGACAGAAGCCTGCGCTCGTCGTGCGGCTTTTCTTTCTGCGGAGAGGTTGTTATTTTTCTTCTTCTTGTGGCCCCAGGTGCCCTCTTCTCCCGGATGAGGCCTCTTTTGTCCCTTCGCCTGTACGGTTTCTTGCTTGACAGACTTGAGCCCGTCCGTGGTACCTCCACCCCCTCTGACACCTTTCTCTTGTTTGATCTTCGCAGGCATCGCTTCTTGCTTGATGAACCCGTGTCCTCCTGTGAAACCCCCAAACTCGTTTCGACCACTCTCGTCCTTGATTCTCGCGGGCATGGCCTCTTGCTTGACAACCCCGTGTTTTACCCCGCCTTGCCCACCCCCTCTGACACCTTTCTCTTCGTTGGTCCTCAATGACATGGCCTCTTGCTTGAAAAAATATGCGTCCTCTTCCGGAGCCTCTACCCCTTCTTGTACGTTCGTTCCCCGTGCTCTATCCTCACCGACAAGGGTTCGTCCTTCAGAAAGCCTTCAGAAAGTCGCGTCCTCCTCCTCGCGGGACGACGTCCTTGACTCGACTTGATCAGTGGTCCGCCGTTTGGCGCTTGATTTATAGTCCGTCTGCCCCCCTCCTCCAAAAAACTGCGCCTTCCTCATGGTCACATTCGACATGGCACGGGGCAGCCGGGAAGAGAAGAACAAGAGTCGAGCAGGGTAAGTCTGTCTCAAGGGCGTAGGCAAGTACGGGCACCAGCGGCACACCCAGCTACGATGGATACCTAGTGACGCCCCCCATGTCACCTTGCCTACAGTAGGTTCGAAAGGGAAAGTCTTTGCGGGCGGGTCAATGAATGGTCAACTGGTCGAAACCAGCAATAGAAAATTAAGTTAGTGGCCTCTCCTGCAAGGTGCATCGAAGAAGCGGGATTTGTCACGCAATCTGCACTACCACCTCCACACACCTTCTCACAAATCAAGCAACAATCTAGTTATTTAGTCTAAATTTCACGACAAAACAGGCGACAGGGCAAGACAGGGAGGTGCTTTTGCAAACAAGAATCGGCGTTGCAAAGAAGGCGAGGACGGGTTTCATTGTAGATGACATCATCATGGAGCAGCGACACGCGCGTTGGCGCGCCCAGATCTGCTGCTGAGACCGTGCTGTCGAAGGCTGCAGCTGCGGCCCCAAATACCCACAAATCTGGGTAAAAAAAACTGGGTCCAAAAACTTTGTCCACACATACCTACGCTGCATGTAGTACTTCGACCCACCCCACCATGATGTACGTACAACCCGTAATTCAGGAGAGTGGATCGTGAACGGTTTATTTCCCAATTTTCGGACATTTCGGGCCAAAGGTGCTACATACACCTTCTACAAGGCCCCAGCAACAGATAGATTTGGGCGTGCCAACCCGACGCCGCGGCTCCGAGACATACATGTAGATATCTAAACAGCAAGTAACTCGATGGTATGTACCGATTTCCCATCAAAAGTATTTTTTTCTTAGGGTAAAAGATCGTTCTCGAATATATTGGATTTAAACTGGTACACTGCTACTGCTGTATCGCTGACTGCCAGGTTCGTCATCCCCCCAAAACATGACCATTCACATGCATATACTGCAGTGAAGCTGCCGTCTGTAATATTTAGTTGGGGGTTTCACGTTCGATTCACGTTTGGGCACTCACTCTGTTGGACACGCGGTAGGTGTGAGTTGGGTTGTTTTGGGCACGAGGTTTGCCCAGCCTATTTGTTTGTGGTACTTCCTGCCAGAACACATCGAGAGGCGATAGTACAGCAGCAGTAGTTTACAAACAACATGAGGTGTCGATGTACAGCAGCAGTACATGTATCGAACACATAAATGCTGTCGACCCTGCCGTCCGTTGCCCGTTGACTTTCTCGTTGACCTTGTGCAGGTTTCGGCCACGCGGGGCATCTTTCGGCTTCGTTTACAATTGTAGTAGGTGGAAAATGTAAGGGTCGCAGAAGTTCCACCTCATACAGCAGTACACTAGAAGGGTGGAAGTGATCGTCTCTCACCTCTATCGCGTTGGTGCAGGACCACCAACTGGGCAATGACGTGTAAGATGGACCGTGGGGTGTGTTGTGGCGATGTGGCGGTGGCGCGGTGGCGATGTGTTGGGAGAGGAAAACGCGAAAACGCGTGCGTGCGCGCGCTCGGTGTGTTCATGTGTTTATACAACAATAAGGGGGTTCAGCCGGAAGGCCTGGGGCGGGGGGTGCCCTGCCCCTGTTTGCCTGTTGTGTGACATGATGATCGATGATCCGCCAGCCGCAGGCAAACCTAACACAGAGAGGACAGAAGGCGGTAAAGGAATAGGATGGCGCTAGTAACTCCACGTATGGAGCACGCACCCCGCACGAGCGATATTGAGTTCTTCTCTAGCCTCCATGGTAGACAGAAGCGACTAGAGCGCGGGCTCAACAAGCGGGATCTTCAAGGTGAGGTGGCTCTATGTCTAGGCTACATGTGTGCGAGTGCCGAGGCTACTCAACAGCAGTGGTGCTTTCCGGAGTAGTGCACAAGAACACACAGCTACCCCGCTGCTGCTACAGGCGCGCCTCCGACAAGCACGTCAGGGGCCGAGTATTTGCCTTCTCTCTCTCTCTGTCCCTCTCTCTCTCCCTCTCTCTCTCCCTCTCTCGCTTGCATCTTTGGTTTGAATTCGCCGAAACCAGACCTTTCTTTTTTACGCACAGCAGTTAAGACCCAAGTACCACCCGTACCTCCTTACCCCCCTCCCCCCCTCCGCTCCTGAAGGTCGTTTGATGATTGTCTAGATGGAGAAGTAGCGCGATTACTTGAGGTTGTCTGCGGGAACATTTGAAACTTTTTACTGTACTGCTGTTGCTTCCACCACTACCTAAACAATTATGGAGACTTCGTATCTCTGAAAGACTCAAGACTATTATTGCGGCCTCTTCTGCCCAGCACATCAGCGACCACGATGGATAGCAGACACAGCAGTTAGCCTGAGGGCAAACACGCGCAGATACGGCAGGCACGGGCCGTAATTGGTATGTGACCGAGCAACTCGTGCATGAATACAAAGTAGCAACAGTTGGGTTTTGTTAGGGTTGCACCAACTCTGCTGTCTCTGCACTGACTGCTGTCACGCGGACGATGCGGCCACACCGAGAGGTAGAGCTCCTCTTCAAGTTTCAGTAGCCATGGTCCGGATGACTTGGTGGCATTGAAGAGTGGTCCAGTGGAAATGAGGGTTTGTGGCGTTCAGGGTGGTGGAACAAGCGCTGGGAGGACATCTTCAGAGACCAATAAAGTGGTAGACTTACTCAAGGTTCTAATCCCGAATCACTACTCCGGAGTTGTAGACAATGGTAGAGTACGTGTAACGGTTTTGGTTTTGCCCACAGCGTTGTAGTCCCCGGATAAGCGGTCAACACGTTCCGTGTGCCGACCGCCGACGACAGTCTAGGTAGGCGCTGCGGTGCCAGTTTTCCACCATGAGTGTTGCAGTCTGTGCTGGTTTCGAGGGTGAAATGACACATCAGGAGCATGATAGCAGCGGCCTGTGGCCGCCTTTCTGCTTGAACGCACAATTTTTGAGGGCGTCACGTCACATAGCTGACGAGGTGCCATGCTTCTTGAATACTTGAACCAAGCGGTGAGTATACAGAAGTTGGGGTCACTGACTTTCTGGAGGACCTGTCAGATCGTGCGCTCGCGCCTGGTTGCTGGAGATTCCATTGATATTGATGTTTTGTATCCGTAAGAGGTGGGACGGGCCCACTCAAGGAGACTTCATGGAAGGGGCTCCGCAATTCGCAGACATCCAAACACGCGTGGCGGGGGGGGGTGGAACGCAAAGGTAGAGAGAAAGAGAGGAGAGAGGCCCCAATAAACTGAGGACGAACATCTTGCGACCGTAAAGCAGTGGCCGGTTTTCTTGTCTTCCATCTACAATACACGTGACCATCTACATGTGAGCAGGCGGGCAGGTACAGCAGCCTTGAGGTTGCAACCGGGGTTTCGCGCTCTCGGGGTTAAGCTATCTAGATCAAGTACCAGTAGTACCAGATTCCATTTACACGAGTGTGGGGTGGCCGCATTGTGTGTTGATGGCTTGCAAGGCAATCGAATACTTTGGTAACACTACCACTGCTGTTCCCGGAATGCTTTGTCACAAAAGCTCTCCCCAAAACAACGCTGCGTTGCCCAGAGCCATACAACTTTCCCTTTCCCTTTTTTTTCCGTTTGTTCCGGGTACAGCAGTAGTATGCATCGCGTTACCGTGCGTCACCCCGGAGACCCAGTTGGTCACCTCGCACCTTCGGATGCCCAGACTTGACTTGGAATCTTGGCGTAGTCATATCATCTGGATAACGATTGAGACCGCGGAGATCTCAGCAACAAACATGAAACCTGGGCATCGCCTCCCAATTTTAACAGCCGAGGAGGCGTACACTTGATTAAACCTTGGGACTGATCTAAAGCGCTGCAAGCGAAGCGTTGTGGTCGCGATAGAGGCTCATGTTTACGTTCGTCATGAACATTTGTCGGCCGTCCCCGCTACACCACGCCCACGACGCAGCCGCCGTCAAGCATGGAACGAGACGGGAGGGCTACCCGGACCCTAAAACCGGCAAGCCGAGATGGATGTACACCTTGGGCAACGTGGTCTACATCACGGACGAGACGTCAACGAGGGAGATAACCTCGTACTACATAGACAAGCCAGTTGTGCAGATCCCGCACGCTCCGCTTACACCCGAGGACCTGTTCGATCAAGAGCGAGCGAAGGAAGCACTGGCCAGGAACCCGGACTTGTGCACGTCTCACACGGTCATCGTCGTGGACCACTCGGCGTCGATGGGGACACCGGACGTGGTCGACCACGAGAACCGCGTGAAGGGATGCTTTGGCATGCTCGCCCTCAACTTCGTCGCCGGGCAGTTGGTCAGCAAGAATGCTTCCAGCACCGACGTCGTGTCGGTGCTACTCATGCACGACAGCGTGGACGTGCTCTTCGAAAGGTAGCTAGCTACCCGTTACGCTGCACGAGGCGTTGTTTCGGTGCAACGCCTCCATGCCTGGTCAGAAGCGCCAACCCGACAGAGCGCTGTCTTTGTCAAGCGAGGGACTTGCGGTCTGACCCATGCGGCCATGATTGAGTACCCCCGTACGCATATCTCCTCTCATTTTCGCCCCCGCCACCTCCGTCGACACACGCAACCACGTGACGTGCACGCTCTTTTTTATTTTGTACTCTACAAAATTCGACAGGGAACCTATGAGCAGGGTCCTCTACAACCGTTTCGTCGGCATCCACGACAAGGTCAGGCCAAGGTCGCACGGCAACTTCATGCCGTCCCTCCTCATGGCGGAGCAGATGCTCAGGGAGGATGCCAACCAGCCGGGCACCGCCCTTTCCCTCATGTTCCTCTCAGACGGCAAGCCCAGCGACAACGCTACCGGGGTCCTACGGGGCAATAACATGGCAACCTCGGTGGCGATGTGCGTGTCTTCGTGTCTTGTGTGTTGTGGCTGTTGGTTTTCAAGAGAGTGCTCCAACAGTAGAGGTGTGTTGTTGCGCTCTTGGGTGGCTGGCTGTACACCAAGGAGCGATAACTTAGCTCCGTACAAGCAAGGGGGTGGCATCTTCTGGTGGACAGAAATCTCAATTCGCGTACCACACGGGTTACATTGCAGGCCAACTGTTACTGAGAACTCACAGCATCCGCCCTTGGGTATTTGATCGGCCGCTGTGACGTAGATGCCATATAGCTCTCTCCCTCTCTCTCTCTTTCTCCCTCTTTCTTTCCCTCTCTCTCTTTCTTTTTTTCTTGGCGTGCCTGGCTTGATATTGATCATTCTGTAATTCTACAAGTGGTGCGTGAACCCTTTTGATGGCAGCTTCTCGGATGGCACGCGCGCAAGGAAGCACGCACTGCTTGGCATGCTGCTGTGTGGACGAATCATTGCCTTTACACATCTTGTTCATCTGTCTGCCTGTCTGTCTCTCGTTAGATCGGACCGTGTGAGCCTTATGGCGGCGACCTTCCGCGACCGCCTCAGCGTCGACACCCTGGGCTTCGCCAACCCCGGCCAAAACTTCTCCGTCCTCCAGTCCATGGCCAAGGCCGCCCACAGGGGAGGAGCCAAGGGACAGTTCAGCCGCCCCGAGCTCTCGTCAGCCGGCCTCGCCTCCGCCATCGCTAGTGCAGTCTCTTCCCTCACCGACACAAAGTCTCACTTGTCGTCGACATTGATGGGGGCAGCGCCGGGCGCGAGGGGCGCCCGCCGGGGTCTCTCCCCGATCCGAGAGCTGCAGAAGGAGAGCGCGGACTGCGAGGGCGTGGAAGGGTGGAAGGTGTACGTGAGGGGCGTGACGCGGCTGGAGTACTCGCCCGAGTTCTCGCACGGGATCGAGAGGAGCCGGTGGCAGCCGCGGCGCCTGGTCTCGCCGTACGCCGACGGCATCGCGATCCGAAGAGTGCCCTTTGAGGAGGGCGCGGAGAAGATCGTCTACAAGATGCGGGTATGCCCATAACGTCTTCACGAGTTGTGTTGTGTGTATTTAGTTGCGTAAGACGGGTAGACAGCAGCAGCAGCAGCAGTAGTAGCGCATGAACGCATTAACGCTCCTTCGGGAGGGGACATGGGGGCAAGGCACCTGTTTGTACGTGCGTGCGCCCTCGCTTCGACCCTGGAAAACTTGAAGTAAGACTGGCTCAGAGGTCGCCAAATACCAGCAAGACGTTTTTCCCCACTGCGTAGACAGGTTGATCGCAACAGGGCGTTTGCAGCCTTGAGGTAGATAAGCACAACAGGCATAGCACTTGATGATTGATCGCTATGGTATGCCTGGGACCGAGACTTTACGTGCCTTAGTGTTGCCATTTTTTCGGGATACTGTAATAAATTGACCAAGAAAGGAGTGCTAGAACTTTGGAAAATTCTCTTCAACATCATTATCATCATGGTCCATCGTCGTCAACAGCTAGGAGCGTCCATCAAATACCGTCGTCTGTGTTTTTGACCAGCAGTTGCTTCGCTTATAACGATTGTAGAACCAAGCAGCGATGGCAAGGGGGGAAGTCGTTTCTTTCATTCCACTATTTTCACTTGATTGACTAAGTCGTCAGGAGGTTAGATTGCCAGTGTAGATTGCTGCTGGAGTCGGATTGGACGAGAGCAGTATCGCGCATTTTCGTACATTGTAGATCCTGGCTCTCTTCGTTTACAGCATGCCGCATCTCGCTTGTTGTCTGTATTGGCACCAAGTGTTGCGAAGACAACGAAGGCCCGCGGTGTTGTCTCTTCCTCCTCCGAAAAAACAGAATGTCTTCGCTTACCCCCGTAGTAACACTCGGTACAACCTGCAACGGCTGTGTCTTTTTTCACCATCCTCCGTTTTGATTCCCAAAGGAGTTCGACTCCCGAAGGAACGAGTTGATAGGGGAGCCCTTCGTGGCGAAGTTCTCAAAGCGGCAGCAGGGGCACAGCAACCAAGAGGCCACGCACTTCGACGAGACGGCGGACAAGGCTGCCAGGGCGCTGGCGGAAGCCTCCAAGCTCGCCAACCTTTTCAACGCCGCTGTGCAGGAGGAAGTGTCGTCGATCTACGGCATCTACGACGACCCGAACGGCTTCGTGGACCAACGCGCGTGGGGGATCAAGTTCCTCCGCTGCTCCATGTACAAGTGAGCGGCGCTGATCTCTCGGACACATTTTTTTCGACAATAGTCTATATGCAATAACATAGTCTAATCACAGAGAGAGACTTTAGTACCCGTTCGAGATAGACTTGCTGGTATGCCCCAATCGAAGGGATGGATTCTTTGGCGTCTTTAGAGTTAGTGTGGAAAGAAACCTGCTGGGTGCTGCGCTTATTTTTTGAGTCTGTTACAGCATACGTAGCTGCAGAATCGGTGACGTTTTCCAGGCTGTATTGTCCTCACCGGTTTCAAGGGCGCAGACGTTTGTTGTCTGGTTGCATGTGTTGGTGTGGACACGTGGACACCAATGAGAGTGTGCAAGTCGCCGGCCCCTTCAGAGCTCAAAGAGCACACAAGCCGCCGGCTATATATATGTGTGTTTAAAGTTGATACTTCTGTATATAGCCTGGCAAACGTTTTCAGAAGCGAAGATTTTAACTCGGTATGCGCCCTCAGGTTTACGGACGACAGCGCCGGAGGCAACATGGACGGCAGGCTCAATAAGCGCATCCTCGCTGAGAAATGGCTGGATCCGTCGGCCTACGTGAAGTGGAACGGGAACAACGGTGCGTGCGATGCGGCAAAGCAGTACAGAAAGCGCCACCACCTTCAGAACTTAAGCCTAACAAACTTCAAAAATTAAGAACTCGGCCGTAAGAGCAGGTGCTCAGTCTACAGTAGAAGCCTACACAAAAACCTATATAGTCGCCGTGGTACCCCACTACACTATACCTACAGCAGTAGAGGCCTACACTAAAACCTATATAGTCGCCGTGGTACCCCACTATTAATACTTGTATGTTGTAGACGAAATAAGAGACTACAGTAGCCTCGCCCAAATAAGAGGTTCTTTATTTAATGGTGGCGCGTTCTGTTCTGTAGTGGCGTGCTATTGTGTGTTGTTATGATACTATGTACTCTACATCTGTGTTCTCGTGTTGGCGACGGCAACGATAGTCGCGCGCTGCTGTGTTTCACGTATGTATCATCGAACATCTCGCCCGCATTCCATCGTATGATTATGTACCAACAACGGAGGCCCGTTAGTGTTGCATTTGGAGCTCGTGCCCCCCGCTGACCTTGTCAAGAGCCCTTGTAGCCCGTCTCTGTGTCTGCGGGTTGGTGGATGTTGTCAGAATCGCTATGATATTTGCTCTCTGGATTCGTGTTTGAAGGCAGTACTCGTTGTAATACAAGCGTTTTGGACTATTAAAGCTGTGAAGCGTGTCTTCTGTCCCCCCTACCTTGTGACCGTGGCGAAATCGGGACGAACTGAACCCAATCCAACCCAACCCGAATGGAATATCCAGTACTGCAGACAGCAGTAGCCGTTTCCGCTATAGCAATAGCCCGACAACAGTCTAACAACGTGGCGTAATACTATAAACTATTTTGCTGCCTCCCCCCCTCGACAGGTAGCTCTTTGGTCTAACCATGTGACACGTCCGCGCCTCATCCCCGCGCTGAGCATGACCCCTTACTGTTTCATCGAAGGACGCACCATGCTCAATTACTGAACGTTCCTCTTGTTTATTGTGATACGTGATTCCTCCTATTACAGTGACACATGAGAATGCTAGCCCACAGAACTTTCCCACTACATGTATTATAGTGACACTTTGAAGTGCTATGCATACAGCAGTAACCCACAGAAGATTCCCCTCCTGGCGGCACTTGCAATCTCAACTCGCAACGCTTCCAAAAATGACCATCCGCAGGGTACGTGTTCCATGGTAGAGGTCACGCCTCCGTACACCAACCTTCCGCGGGAACGGCAGCGGACGGCGCCACCTCCTACGCCCGCGCAGACCGCCTCATGGCCGGCGGGACTCAGGTCTCCATCGGTGGTGGTGGTACCGGTGCCTTTGCTGCTGGAGGAGGAGGAGGAGGAAACGCAGTGGACTACGGCGATTGGGCGGAGGAATACCTCCGCGGCGGGGGCGGTTGGGCGGGCGGCGGTAGCGGCGGCGGCAGCGGTAGCGGTGGCGGCCGGAGGAGCCGGAAGCGGGGCCGGGAGGAAGTCTTCGTGGGATTTGCGCCGCGGCCTACGGACTACCTGCAGGCGTTCTCCCACTTCTCGTTCGTACGGTCGGGGCACAAGAGGCTCGTGTGTGATCTGCAGGGGGTGGAGTGCCCCGGACTGCCGGACAACCCATTCTGCGCAGGGGTCTACGAGCTCACGGGTAAGGTCGAAACGTGTTTGTGGATATGTTGTAGGTAGACTACAGTAGCAGTAGTGGTGAAAGTCGTCGTCAGCGCACATGCAACTGAACTGAACCACCGTACCCTTCGAAGGAAGTTCCGGGGAAAGAAAGTTGGAGGCGTATGCTGAACACCCGAGGTACGACGCTGGAGACGGGCGCACCGAACAACATCCAACCAAGAAAAAAAAAAAAAAGTAAAAACATTGTTCCTGTCCAACTGAAAACAAGTCGGCGAACACTCAGGACTATGTGGGGAAGAACCGCACCGAAAAAACCGTAGATAATAGGTTACAGAGTTGTCTCCGTCCATCTGAAAAACAGTCCGTAACAACTCAAGAGTACAACTCAAGAGTACAAGTATGTACTGTAGGAATCGAACGAACCCCTATCCTGCTCGATTCACAATCGGACACTTCGACAAGGCCTGGTTGTTATATATTGGTATGGTGTTTGACCTTCCAGTTTTAGCCAGTATTTCTGGGTTTCGGCCTCGTCGTGCGTGCGTGCCTCGGAGAACCCCCCGACTTGCTCCTCTTCCGATGAGAACGCGGAACATTGTAGCAGACGTTGCTGACAGCGTTGGCGTTCGGGTAAGCACTGTACAAGATTCATCGGAATCTAACACTTGCAGCTGGTGTGTTTGATTATCTGAACCGATCGCCGTCCCGGGCGTTAGCAAGGTCGTGGGTTGTGTCGAGCATTAGTATTGCATTTCCACATGGGATGCTACGGGCAAGGCCGGAACGCAATTCTCGTCCGTTGCTACCTGCCCTTTCCTTCTCTTCTCTTCCTTCTTATCTTCCTTCTAACTTGCTTCTATCTTGCTTCGCTTCAATCTAAGCCTCGTGCCCGCACGTCTCAATTTTTCGGTACTCACCATCCCTTTCGTCTTCCTATCCCCACCCTCTCCCTTTCCTCCATTAGACCCTGTAATACACTCCAACTCGCAGATCGCGCGGCAGCAGATGTTCGGCCGCACAGATCTCGGCAAAAAGGGCATGCACAAGTTCTTCCGGACACACGTCTGCAACGACGTTTGCCGGTTACTAAACCTGCCGGGATCGAGATCGCCAGAAGCGGAGGTGGCTGAGAAGGCCGCCAATGCCAATGCCAATGCCAATGCCGGTGCAAGGGAATGGGGGGGTCGGGGGGCGAAGTTCCGAAGGATGCACAACCCATGAAACCGCCTTGTTCCGAGTTGTGAAGGATGGGATCTTTACGAGGTATATCCATACCGCTGTTTGCGTGATAGAGTAAGGGATCCCACATCCCACACGTCTGTGTGTTGGTTTGGTCCCTTGGAGTTGGCGAGGACACCACTGGTGGCGGGATATTTCGCTCCGGGACGACGGGTCTGTTTTCCTCGGTCGTGGTCACGGGTACGGTTGTTGCCCACGGTATACGGTATACCGGATGCGGGGGGTGTACTCATACTCATAGTCGTGCTTGCCGTATTGGTCGTTTGACCGTTGACCTCGCATAAACCGGATGTGGGACACGCGTTATCGTTCTCGTGAAGTTGGCGAACCAGCGGCTTTACGATAGTACAATACTCGGAGTACAATTGAAGTGGTGCATCCTCGACCGGGGATGATTGGAGTGCAGTTTTTTGTGTGTGTCCCGTAGTCGTTTTGAGCAAGACCACCTTGAGTCGATCGCAGCTGCGAAACGCGGAAGACTTGGCCTTCCAGGCGCTTCAATACTCGCTGCTCTTGTTTTTGCCGTTGTTTTCTGGGGGTACAGCAGTGTTTTTTGTACAAACGGGGGAATGTCGTGTAAACAGCAGTGGCTACGGATAGGTTGTTGTACATGTTGGTTTGTAGAACAGAGAACATGACTTGTTTTTTGCAAAAATCTGTCCCGGCTGGATGCCACATAGTGTGTCCGTCTTGCATGCATTAGAGGGTAAAAAACCAGACACCACTCGCGACTTCCGCTGTTTTTCCTTGCATATGTTGTTTATTGCTGCCGACGAGCAAACACAAACAAATATTTCGGCTAGCGTCGTTCGAGGCTGTACATACTTTCGCTCGGTCGACGTTCGTTAGATCCTTTGACATTGACATTTTGCCGCACGACAGTAGCTTAAAGTCTTACGTTGCTGCCGTCCCGTTTTATTCCTTTGCACGAGGCAAGGGTATACTAATTATACGTATGGCAACCCCTGTGACAATTGGATATTTGGTGGTGGTGCTTTGTCCAGAGCATTAGCGTTTAGCCTCACTCTGTATGTTTTGTGGGTCTTGTTGTTTATAGGCCCACGTATGTGGTCGTTTGGTCTTTTGGCGTACAGCCAAGTCCCGCTGTCGTCTCAACCCAGCTATAGCTGGCGTGTAGTGTGTGATTGGGAGGCGAACATTCTACGTAGGGCAAGCCGTTTAGTTTGTTACCCTGCAAGCCGTTTAGTTTGTTACCGTGCAAGCCGGTCCCTGTTGTTGCGTAGACTATCATAACGGAAGTGATTGATTGTTGTATGATTGCTGTGGACCGTAACCATTGGATTTGTCGTTGAGTGTTCGAAGTTCTTGCATTTTGTTTTCTCCGTTTTCTTACGAGTACACGTATTTGTTATAGTAAGTAGTGGATTGTGCGTCTTTCTCGTGCTTCTCGCGCGATGGCGATGATGATGATGAAGATGCTGCTGCGGGCGCTAATGGTGCTGACCACTACGTACTGTTTTGTACCAGAGACGTTTCTGCCTTCAGGACTAATGATGAAATGATGAAACCGCCAAGCTCTAACCTAACCTAAGTGGGTGGTGGTGGCGCCTGGCTGGGTGGTGTGGGTGAGGTACGTATATCCAGCGCAAAAGATACGTCTTATTCACTTTATGCGCGCCTTCGTTGATGATTCCATGAACGTCGAAGCAGGAGTGACTACTACGAATTCAATGTCAACTGGCTATGATTGGCAATCTGCCATGGACTAGAAACATGCATCTATCGTGGAATGAAGGTATCCGAGGACGGGTCGCGGTAGTTTTAGAGCACGGCGGCCGCACTCGACCATAATCACCACCACTACTCTCACTGCTTGCGGTTCTCCATCCATCTTTCACCGCAACCCCACCTTATTTCATGAGCTACGAAGATTATGCAGTAGTACATTCTAGTACAAAGTAGCGTGGAGGAATAACTTGAATGATGCTGTTTTTTGGTGTTCGATTGTTGAATACACATATGTACATCGTCTGCTCTCCGTGCACTCCGTAGCAAACCCATCTCCGTTCTCTGTCGGTACATTCTTTTCGGGACACCGCTCTGTTGTGTCTTCGGAACACTTTGCAGGGAATAACTTGCAGGGAAACCCACTGCTGTGGGGAGTGTGGCACGTGAAGAGCGAGGCTATAGCTCTCATGTATTAGCAAACCTTCAAGCTGTGCTGGTATCTGGTATGTATCTATGCATGGGATCTACCTGCTAATGAGGATGCTAATCTACCACATCTACGAAAATGGGGGGCTCCGTGTATTCCGAAAATCCTACCCCGTGCCTCGGTTGAGCGTCCCTCCGAGACTTTGGGGTGCTCTGAGCAACTTACTGTCCTCAAACTCTCTGTGTGATACCTTTACCCCCGCGCAATCGCAAAGCACAGAGTCTGCATTTCTCGTCCTTACCCAGCTGAGATGCCTTCCGAAAGCCTCCCGAGGGATGACGAAGGGTCCGAAACACCAGTCTTCAAGAGGAGGAAAACTGCGGCGTCTCCGTTGCTCGCGACCCCGGCCCGGGTTCTCAGTCAAATACAAAATGTGAGAAAATGTTGATGTTACACAGGGAGGAGAGGGTTACACAGAGAGCGTGGGGTCAGCCGCAACCATCCCTAGCGTCCAGGGCTAGTTTGTGAACATGATTCCAAGCTGAAGGCACTGCTGCCCCCCAAAACTTAGCCAGAGTGCCGAGACACTCGCGTCGCTCACTACTGCTGTAGCTTTGCAGTCGTTGTGTTGTGTTCCAATTGGAAGGTTTCATCTGATGAAACGATAAATTGGGAGATTGAATCAGGCTGCACACTTGCTGTACACATATTTTCCCGCAATCATCTTACAGCAGTGTTCTTGCAGCGAATCCTTGTTATCTTCACCCATGCATCACGCGTTGGTAGAGTGTCATTGTAATGACCTTGTTACCGCCTGCCTGTGGAGTTTGCCATTCCCATCAGTGACGACAATATGTCGTCGTGGGGTTGAATCGACCTGCTTGGCACCTTCATGTGCACGGGATACCAGAACTTGCAGAGCATGAGCGCGGCTCATCATCTACAGTCTGCTCGAACGAAATGTATGTACATATGTACATACAGTACTTCAAAGTGGTACGAAGTATGTCGGAGTCCGATCCGCTTTCGGTGCGCAGACGGTCGCGGAGAACAAGTATCGTACTGCGCTCCCACAACATATCGTGCAGTAGTACCCAGTCGTAGAGAACCGTGTTGGCTGGCCTATTTACGAGCGGAGCTCGTATAACACACGAACTGCTAGACTATTGTACATGTTGTTGTTGTTGTTGTTGTTGTTGTTCGAAATGAAGAGTGAAGACTCGGATCTCGAACCAAAGACGGTATCTACTTCCCGCCCTTCGCCGCCATTGTCGGTGCTGCCCTGCGCGTAGCGGACGCTCGCAGTAATACTTGTGCCGCAGAACAATCTAGCCATCTAAGCTGTAGATCCTGGGCGCATCTGTAGCATTGCATGCCCGGGTCATCGTCAGGCTTTCCTCTTGATGTGGGCCGTGTCTGTCTCTCGCTCGAACGCTCCAAGATGCAACTACTCATACATGTAGCGACACCGGCTGTATTTTGCGTGCTACATGTTCCGGTGGCGGTGGCGGTGGTGCAGGGTGACACTCTCGACACCGGGCGGGTGCTACAAGCGTTGTGCAACGCGGTGATATCTTCCAGCGTGGACGAGGACGAGGACCCGCACGCCCTCAAGCTATTGGCCGAGCTGCTTGCCGAAGACGGAGTGGACCCGAACGCCGGAGACGAAGCTCTGTGGGACAACGTGAGGAGACGCCATTTTTGTCTGCCCTGATGGGGGGGCAGACCATTGCTTACCTCTCGCTCTGTGTCCGTCGGCGTGTTTAGATGGCATGGGTTGGTGTTTGTTGGGGACGGTCACAGAGAACGTGTGCGTGTCGCGTCGTGCCAGAAAACCGCCTTTGCGAAATCGCCCTTCCGTTTGGATTTTTCATCGAGCGGGAACCAAGCGACACATGTTTTGGCTAGTTCAACCGGTGGTGTAGACACAGAAAATCTGGGTTGGTGCGTTTGGTTGTTGCTTTCGACGGAGTTGGAGTCGTTTCTGCGGAGTACGTGCAGCAAGGAAGGGCGATCGATGCTCGTCTGCCGCCGTACTGAATCAGCAAAAGATAGCGACACTATCAACAACCTTCCAGCTCACACCGGCTCGCGTACCCACAACAAGACAGGTTATAGTCAGGGGAGCAGCAACTGCAACAGCAGTATGCCGCAAGTATTTCATCACGCCCTTGTGTCCCCCGTGTATTTTTGTTTTTCATGTTCGGCTCACGTATGCTAGAACACGGTGGTTCCGGCCAGCTCAATTTTCTTGACACGACACGCATATCTCTTCTTCTGAGCGTCACTCAAGGCAACGGCAACACGAATCCCAACCCCTGGCCACTTGGGCAACACCCCCACTATCCAACGCATGTACTTGTACCGCGGTCAAGTAGCACACACGCATGTCCGCCCCTGCCACCCCCGTGCCAACATCGCCTACACACTTGCTGCTGCTGCTGCTGCTGCTGCTGCGGGTGTGTTGCAGTATGGCGGTAGCCCCTTGTACCAGGCGTGCGCGCTGGACCTCCCTTGCACTGCTAAGGCCCTGCTGGACCACGGGGCGTCGGTGGTCCAGGTGTACAAGGGACAGACACCTCTACAGGCGGCGCTCGCCCAGAAAAAATCCCGCTGCGTCAAGGTGAGGAACAGCCATCGGTTGGTGCTGGTGGTGGTTGTGCTGGTGCTGCTAGACAGCGCTGTTGGCTTGTGGCATCCCCTCAAGACCACGGGCAGGCTTGTCGTGTCGTGGCTGTGGCTGTGTGTTTGTGGTGTGGAAGATGAGAGCATGAATGGAGGGATGAAAAGGGGCGTGTAATATGATCTGTCTGATCTGATATGACGCGTATATTGGGGTTTTACTCGAGGTTAGCCGGGAACTCGTACTCGAGGTTGGCTTTAGATCCACGCGCCAACGGGCTGCGGCTGCAATCTACTTGACGGAGGACGGAGAGCTCACTGTACCTCCATTGCTGAGCTCGGCAATGCTGCTGTTGGTGCAAGGTTTCATGGGAACAGGGACACCCCTTCCCGTGTACCCTGTACAGGACTGGAACAAGTTTAGGGGTGTGCTCAACGCCATGTCGTCGCGATATGACCCTCACGTTGGACACCTCTTACCCCTCTTATTATGTTTTCTCCTTTCTCCCGCTGGAATAGACGCCGTCGACAATCGTTGGGCTCGCCGGGAGTAATCGGGCGAATACCCCGGGGCGGTTAAAGCGTTGATGACGTATGTATCGAAACACTATTGTAGGGAGGCGATCCTCTCCTCTGACCCACGTCGTCACATTTTACCCAAAGAGTGCCTGTTGTAGAAAATGCCCGCGATTCTTTCGGCAAGGAGTTGGGCTGCCTCTGGCGTTCTGCTGCAGTCACGCACAACTACCAATCGGCTTGGATGCCGAGAATGCATTGGGCGTGTTCCCTTCTCTTTCCGACAAGTTTAGTGCTGCAGTTGTGAAAAGGGTTTGGTTTGCAGCAATCTCGTACAGTTGTAACCGCTGCCCTTCGTGTTACCCGCGCACGTTTCCGTCGCTGTCCGTCTATATCTCGTTCTTGTTGCCACTACCGACAGGTTATCATGGAACACATCGAAAAGCTCGAGACGCAAGCGCGTGAGGGGAGAGGAGGAAAAGGACCCAGGCGCTCCAATCACGGTAGCCAGTGTGAACGCTAGATAGCAGCAGCGGCCGGCGCACCGTAACTAAATAATGTCGTAAGTAAAGGCCTACGTGATGAGGGGAGGTGTGGGGTGGATATGGGGGCACGTGTTGCTGTTGCTAGCGCAAGCACACCCTCGTACTCAAGAGGGCGAGTGCTGGGGAGGCCTGATTCTCTCTCGCTCGCTCGAGATCAGGCCTGGCATGGCATGTAATGAGTGGTTACTGAGGCGAAAGCCAATTGCGATGGAAAACCCGTGTTGGGCGTTTGAGGAAGAGCCAACCCCTCCCCGGATGCTCGTGAATGTGTGTCTGCACTTGGAAGTAATTTCAACCACGGAAGGACCTCGACCAACAAAACAAGCACGATGTACGTATCGATGGTACCTTCGCGGCGCTGGTCCTGTTTTGTCCTGTTTTGGGCGGCGTGTCAAGCGAATGAGCATGTGTAGCCCTCTCCGTTGTTGCTGCCGTACGTTGTACTTGAGTAGCAACAGCGGTGTGGTGTGCTTGCTTGAAACGTGGTGCCAAAACAAGTGGTCACTGCGTTTTTGTTTTTCAGTTTGGTTCTGGGATGTGCTTGTATGTGCCGTATCTGTGGTGGATGTTCGTGCGTGTTGCGATAACTAAAAGTACTTTTTTTTCTGGTTTTGAAACACCCATCCACTTTCTGGCGACAAGTTTCCGAACCGTGTACTGAGTAATGTGTGTGAGTTTTTTTTATTTTTTTGTCGTCGTGCTTTGCGTTGGGCATGCGTAAGTAAATATGCGCCCGCCGGACGACGGGTGTGTAGGTGATGGAGTGTAACTTCGCTTTGCACCGGTGGAGGGTTTTCCGTTTTTTGGCCAAGAGCTTTGCGATGCCGTTTTCCAGAGGTTACACCAATGCTTGTTCGCTTTCTGAAAAGGTTGTCCAGTGTGTGTCAGTTCTTTTTTTGCATTCCACCCGACCGGTATGAATTGGCGGGTGTTTGGTGTATAGAGGTGATATACAAATATAGCATTGCATTCTCATGGCGTTCTCGTGGGAAAATTGAGAAAATAGCGTCCTGGCTCGAGTTCGAGCGGCCTTTGACGCCCAGTGCGATAGGGGCAGGAGTAGGCCACACGTGTTGATATCAATCACTCAATTTGCTCAATTGCATGGTGGATGTGAAGTTGAGATGCAACGTTGACTATTGTCGGCCTGTTGCCGAGACAAGTGTGGTGCCATGTTGCTGTGGTAAAAAATTCATGACTAACTTAACAAGCGTATCATGGCGAAGGCGTTCGATTCGCGGTAGCACTATGTGTGCATGCAGCGCGAGATGTGCGAATTGCTATCTACAGCAGTAGGTGCTCCTGATGCTGCGAACGGAAGCACTATATTAGGACAAGGAGGCGGTTTTCGGCTTCAAGTGCCACGCCGTCTACTATGAATCCCAAACATACAATATTGGAGGGTTATTCAAGTGAGTTAACGGTACTGCAGACATGACTTTACGGCTCAGTAGGCAAGGTTTGCTGCACAGGTTTTGGAGCTCCGGGGTTTGCAATTACAATTACCAACTCATGGCCAAGCGAACGCCGAGCCGGCTCCAAAGCTCCGCGTGGGGCTGATAGACACGGCCTCAAAAATCGCATGAGGCGTTTGACAACCGCGTTGTGCGCATTCCCACCACCAGACGAAACGCGATCCAAGAATCAAGCACGGCATGGTCCATACGTAGCGCAAATATATTTAGCTTCTGCGCAACCACCAACTCCACCTATCGTAAACACCGCGCACACGCAAGAACATTTCTATTATGGTGAGGTACATTCCGACTGAAATCCTACTATTTCCCAAGCTCTTACAGCTTGGGTGGCTCTTAGACGATATTTCTATGTTGCGGTGGTGGCCTTGGTCGACTCCGCCTCCTCCATGGACTTGACGAATCGTTCGAAAGGGTTCGCGTAGAAGCGAGTCCCTTCCACGCTCTCGTCCCGGCACAGCAACCCTGCCGTCTCCGCCGTGCGCAGGTGCTCCACCGCCAGCGTCGCCGACACCCGCAAGTCCCTGGCCACCTGCGTCGCCACAAGGCCGTCCCCCCACCCCCCACCCCCCGCCGCCGCCTCCGCCTCCGCAGCCTTGACTAGCTTCTCGCTGACCGCCTGGTCGCTGTGTGAGTCCGCCTGGATCACCAGCACCCCGGAGGCGAACCTTCGGAGCGACATGCCCAGCTTGGTGGGGCCGAGCAGCCTTGCGGTGGCGAGGAGGTCGGCGGGGGACACGAGCTCCGTGCCTCTCGCGCGGTTGAAGACCGAGAACACGTCCGGCAGGGTCATCATCCCCCCGAACATGTCCAGGAGAGTCCGGGCGCCCGCGCGCTTCCCCGGCGGCGAAGAGAGGAAGTCCGCCAGCTGCCGGGCGAGCTGCTGGTGGTAGCGCGTGCCGGCGCTGGTCTTGGTGACGGGACTCGCGATACCGATGTCTTGGAGGATGCTGCTCAGGTCCTCGGCTTCCCGTGTGGGGTCACCGCCGTCGCCCGCCTCATCCTTGTCCCCCGCCGCCGACGCCGCCGCCGTTTGCTTGTCCTGGAGAGCAGCCGAGTACCGCTCGACGACGGCCACCACCTCCTTGGCCTTGTCGATGAGGCTCTTGAGGTCCGAGAAGGCCTCCGTTGCGATCTCGGCCGTCGCCTTTCGGTTGGCCTCCTGTCTTCGGAGGATGCCAGCAACGCCCGCCGCCGACGCCCTGCTGCCGCCGCCGCCGCCCTCACCTGCTGCCCGGCGACCCATCACTTCCGCCGCGGTCTCGACGACCCACGCCTTGCGCGCCAGGGCTGACTCCATGTGCGAGAAGAAGTCGTCTCTGCCCTTGACGGAAAGCATCACCGCTGCACGCAGGAGACAGGCCCAGGGAGGAGTGTGTGGGAAGCGTCGGGGGTACAAAGACGGGAAAATACCTGCTGTGTAAAAATGTGCCTGGTATCTTCAAGCCCAACCGGAACAAATCCACATCCCATAGCAAGATGCAGCTCAATCAAACGATTCGACACTCGCTTATCCCGACAGCTATGCACTACTAATACCATGTACTTGCAGGTCTTATGTATCTTATTTATCCCTTGGAGCTCTGCTCTCGTGGATGTGGAATCGAATCGAATCTAGAACCTCCTGCTCCGCAAGCGCAGCGTGCGACATCAACCATTTCGAGCTCTGGAGCAATACCCACGGCCCTTCTCAGCAGAAACGCCCGGCGGGCGTTTATGCGTATGTGCGTCCTCGCTTGCCGCCCCACACCTACCTGGTTTGTCGCCATCGATCTGACCGGTCGGGAATATGTGTATCCTGGAAGAATTTAGGAATCTTCTTCGTGGTTGCGGCCTAGCTTCGCGAATGTCTGGAAAAAAAAGCGAGACACGAAACGTTGAGCAACCGGGCAAACGGCACGCACAACAAGAAGTGAGTGCTACAGTACTGTACACACATCATCACCAGCCACGACATGCGCGACGCGCGTCGGTGACAGGCAGCCGGTTGCACCTGTAGTGCTGCCCGTGGTCTCGTCTGGAAAGAGCACGGCCACGGGTTAACATGTAGTGCCTCCACTTTGAACAAGGGCAACCTGCGAGTGAAGTCTATTACTGCCCTTTAGCTATACAAGCCCTTCGGAGGGAAGGTGCCCCGATTGCTACCAAACCGACGTGGAGTACCGAACCACTACAGCTCTTGGCACAAACACGTGTGCTGTAGAAACCTATTGCACTTCTGAATAGCCTATAACTTGTAGCGGTTTTCATTTTCGTCGGTACATATTCTTTTTTCCATTCCAGAGGTGAAAAGCCTCAACTACAATCGATATAACAGAGCCAACCAGCACAACGCCGCGATCCGGAATAAATCAACAACATGGCCGCCCCAGTTCTGTGAACCACATTCTCAAGAAGCACACAGCAGTTAGCAGTGAAGCACACAGCAGTTAGCAGTCTGCTGCTGCGGCGGTGCTGCTGTGCTGTTACGCTGTTACAGCAGTAGTACCGGAGAGATGAATGCAGACGTGGACGCCGCCGTGGGTCACTCGCGAGCGCTCGGACCAAAGTATCCGGTGAGTGGTGAGCGTCGCCCTTCCCCCCTGTAACCGTTCCTCCACGTCGTCGTCGTTGCATGCGTACAGCACCGCCTCCCTGCAGCAGCAGCGACAGAAGGTACTCAAACTCAACAGTGTGCTTGGTACAGCAGTAGTACTGTAGATAAACCGCGATCCCCCTGCGCACTGAGAGATGAGATGTTACGCGATATGTACCCCCCAAACCTAAAAACCAATTAAATAAAATAAATAACACACCCCATATATATATTGAGACGAAGCGTAGCATAACATGGGGAATTTAGTATACACCAGAGCCGGAGTGCATGTTTGTGCGGCGCAAACAATAACAGTTGCAGCTTTGCAGTGTGCATGTTATCTACAGGTCAGTATCTACAGTACATATCTACATGTACCTTCGGGCGCCTTTTGGAGGGGAGAAAAAAACACCTGAACAACGGCAGCAGCAGTCATTGTGTCATTGTACACCAACGGAAGAAACAGGCATGGCCACCTGCAACCTACAATGGGTAGCGGCAACGGTTATCCGGGAGGCACTGCTGTCAAAACGCGAAACAACGTGCATCATCGACACCTTTATGTTCCAAGTACATTTGTACTGTAGCGCAACATGGATTAAACCTGACAGCCTGAAAATGGCACTAAGAAGCAAATTAATATCTCCGTAGACACAGCTCGAGCCTGTATGCAGGAGCTGGCGTTCTGCTGCGAAATGCAGAAGATTGCAGAGACAGAGGCGTTGAAATCTGAGTTTTATGAGGAGCGGAAGATAAAATATCTGTTGGCCAATCAGAGAGCAGCAGCATTGAGTCAGCGTGAAAGTGTTTGAAACCTGACTTGAAGGGTAGACTTGGGGGCACTTGTTGGTCTGCCCCAAGGAAGCACGAGGGAGGCTGCTGCAGCCAAGAGGTATTTCGGAGGAGATCTATTTCTAGTTCTGCTGCGAAATATCGATTGGTTGATTGGTTGCTTGGTTGCAATGTTGCAATGTTGCAAAGGAATGCGGGGTGATCGAAGCTGATTTGTTAAAGGTTGACTGCTGCTGTTGACTCGAAACAACTACTCCTAATAAACTCACTCTTTGGAAGTAATTTCGATTTCATCTGGCAACAGCTTGGCGAGGCCTCCCGTCGTCAGCTCGAAGGGCTTCACCAAGGCATCATAGTTGTGTGGCTTGACCTTCGGCGGGCTCCCGCGTTGCATCCTCTTGCTCGCGAATATGCTCTGTACGCGTGAGAAGTGCAGGCTGAGAATTTCATTTTCGGGAGTTGATGCACAACGCGGAGGCGTACCCGCAACGGGAGCCCACAGCATGCCTATCATGCCGGCTTTCTGCTGCTGCGGTTCGCGGGGGGTCTGTGGCAGCTGGGGCGCAGCCGGAGACAGGGCGCAGCAGGAAGGCGGAAAGAAGCCTAAGACATAAACGCCCTGCCTGCAACACGGTGGGTATCACGTATCACCACGTCTTTGAAAAACATCAACATGCACTTTCTCCCTCTGCTGTGTTGCAGTCTAGATATAAAAGGTGTCAAGCGCATCATGTTCCGAATTCGCACCACGGAGTGAGGGAAGGGAAGTGTTCGTTCGTTGGTCTGAGTCCATCCATTGGGGACGAGGAGAACACGAGTACTTTGTGGGAAGATCTAAAAAGGAGAGGGAGGCAATGGGGAGAGGGGTTCATGGGGGGGGGGTTCTGGTCTCTCCGTCCTTGCTATCACGTGTCCGTGGTCTGCAGCCTCTATAAATAACCTCGGGGTTACCGGTTTAGCCTACACCAGGTACATGTAGAAACGCAAGAGTGCATATGAGTGAACAGAGCAATGCGTCTATGGTGACATGATTTCAGGATAGGGCACGATGCCGTCCTGGCGCACGCTGCATCCTCCTCCTGCCCCCCC